CCTGACAGGCAAAAATCAAGGAGTGCAAAAGCAAACAAGTCAGCTATTACTGATCTAATAGCACTGAGAGCTGTAGAAGCCAAAATGAACTAATCAAATAAGTTACCACCTCCTTTTTTTTACAAGCATAATCATTATGATTATTCTAACTCATTAGGGTCACTGGGTCACCACATGTACTGCAGTTGTAGCAGCAACAGCAACAATACATGTTGTCTGGAACAAGAGTGGCTGATAAAGCTCACATCTTTTCTGGTCAATTTGAATTAAGAGTTGTCAATCTCCAGTCCCTGGTTGTCATGCCAAGGCTCAAGAGCTCCATTTTTCCTGTTATTTAGAGGCATTTGAATTCAGTTTTACTTCAGAGTGGCTGCTACCCAAGGCAAAGGAATCCAATCTGTCTTGCTATCTAACCCATAGCTGGAGGAAGATGGATTCATGCCTTTTTCTAACCCAAAGTGAACAAAACACTCAAAATTTGAACTCTGTAGACTAATTCCACTTTCTATACCCATTACGCTAACTGCATATATATATATATATATATATATATATATATATATATATATATAATTATCTAAAAAACATTCAATTTTTTTTTCTTTCGTATTTGTTTCTTTCATTCATTATCAGAAGAGAACTTACTATTTCTTTGTGAAAGAGCCAATGTTGTAGAACTCATATATGCTCCTTAGAGAGAGAGAGACAAAGTCTGTTAAAAGCTTAATTTTATTTGTTATAAACAATATAAAGTGTTTGTACTTTGTACCACAAAATGTACTTCCTTTATCTATTGGAACTATGATTGCTTTTAAATGAGAGCATTTTCTGGTAATGCCAAAATCAGATTGAATTAGATTACCAGTAATTTACAGTTCATGCTAGTAGCTGATACAAGTGCTATCAAAATAATAACAATCAACTGATTTGACAGCTCAGGAAATTTGAGAATATGCTAGCAGGACTTATATATGAATTAGCTGGAGAGCTAAATTAGTGAGTCAGTCAAAATGAAGTCAATTTAAATAAACTTTATTAAATTCTTTATTCAACAATTATCATTATTATTAAACAGACATATGTGAAGTTAATTCAGGATTTATACAGAACAAATTATTTTTTAATTTACAGGTTAGATTGTTCTCATTCCATTGTCCATGTCGAGGAATATCTCATTTAATCCTTTTCTTTTTAGTACTACTCTGTTATTAGCTGAGTAGTACAGACTCATTCAATAGAAACAGAGTGAACAATAACTGAGCAGTACTTTAAAAAAAAAAAGAGAGAAGAAAAAACAACATAAAATATCCCCAACCATGGACAGTGGAATGAGAAAAAATCCATCCTGTCGATTAAATAGAGGATTCAATTTGAAATTCCTGAAAATCAAGTTTTATTAAAGTTTATGAAGACATTTGAATTTTAAATTTGAGATTTAAAAATTTTATAATTAAATTTTCAAGCTTTATTGCACACAATCATTTGGGCTAAGGTAAACATTTACTAGACTTTGATTATTGCCAGATTGCTGGATTGTTGTTTAGAAAGGAAAGGTGTACTATATCTATTAAATTTTTTACATTACTTATATTTATTACTTGAGACGTTATTATACAATGGATACTCATATTTGAAATAGAAGCCGTTTAAAGTAAAAATGAATCTTATTTTCATTTTTGCTTTAAACAGAATGTATTACATCTATTGGCTTGCATATTCAATAAATTTTAATAAACAAAATGTGCTTTCTGGCAGGAATTGAACCTGCATTTATCTTTCTAGGAGAAATCACCATTTGATCAGGTGTGGGTTACTGTTCAGTTAAAAAAGCATCACAGTAAGGGAAAACAGCTTTGTTGTACTGGTTGTACTTTGACAGATTAAAAATAAATCCATTCTTTAGAAGAAAAAAAATTACTTTCTCGCATATATATAGAGAGAGAAAGAAAGAAAGAGAAAGTAATGTCACTTTCAGAAAAAATACTGAAATATTGTAAAAAAAAAAGTTGTTTTTTTAAGATAAATAAGGAAACCTACTGGCCTTTTGATAAATCATATGTAGCTACTTTTAAATATGGAATCTCAGTTAGTAAAATGGAATTCAGATTTCAGGATGAAATACTTGTTAAAAATCATAATTAGATGCTTGATATTCAATGAAATCAAAGATTGCATTTAAAGCCAAAATATATTTAAGAGTGCAAGGAAGAGGCACACTATGTGATGGCATTTCAAGATTCCTTCTCCAGTAATTACCTGATAAATCCTAAGGGATGGGGTTGAGGGTGGGAGCCCATCATTTTGTATTATTTCTATTTATTTTCTTGCTTATCTTGTTCCTGTTTTAACAGTTTTGCTTGGATTTCTTTAAAGAAAACTTAACATTGGCAACCATCTTGTTTTGCCTCTACCCCTCTGGCTTATATGTAAAGGAATGAAGGGATAAATTCATTTATAATTGTCTTAGTGGTTCTCTTCTGTATATTTTGTCTGTGTGCAGGTGCAACCAGCCAATTGCAGTTTGTTAATGAGATAGCCCACAGTTTGCTTGATCTTGCTCAACGGCAGATCCCTCCCGCTGAGGAGTTGCCTGCAGATCATCTGGATACAACAGATTCTGTCATCCTCATCACCACCTCCACTGCCACCAATACCACCATCACTACTGCCTCCACTACCACAACCATCACCTCCACTACTACTACTACTACCACCACCACTGCTGTCTCTATCCAGTCCAAAGCAGGTAAAAAACAGGAATCTTTCTTCAGATGGTATTATCAAACAAATAATTTGTTTGAAAAGAGAAAAAACTTTAACTATTACAATCAAAGCAATCAAATTTTACTTAAATTCTTATGAAGACGACATCAACAAATTGACTTCTGATATGTTTCCAAGATAATTTTCTTTATCTTTTAATTTCATATGTACTTTTAATAGCTTTTCAAAATATATAAGAAAAGGTACATTTTTTTTTAAGTATATGTGTGAGCTTTCTCAAAACAGTATTATCATAAAAAGTGGTCTTTCCTAAAAAAACAAAAAAAAAAAACAAAACCATTTATTTAGCTTTAATGTGTATTTTCAAGTCTTTCTTTAAATTTTGGATTGTTGATGTATGATCTTTGGAATTTTTTTTTTATGCTAGTTTGAATAACAAGGCATGCAAAAATAAATGTAAATTCATCAGTGTAGTTATATCATCCCTTGCCAACTCTTTCTACTTAGCTAAAAATGATGAAAGGTTTCTGGATGAAAAAAAATATATATGTTTTTACACTGAATGTTTGTTACTAATTTTTTTTATTGATAAGAATGCATTTGTTACATTTCACCTTTTTTACTCACTACTTAAACATCAGCTTTAAACACACTCCTTAACAAATTATCTTGTCCTTTCTTTCAACCACAGTTTTGAAAAATAAAACCTTTTTGTTGCATTCTATTTTTGTGTTTCATCTTCACATGTACTATTGTTACCAGAGGACAGCTTCTTTAATTGGTATTGTATCTTTTGTACTAAAATCATATTATAATATGGTGCTTTATATTTACTAAGTATAATAAATTTTAATAAGTACATAAAATCAAAATTCTGTTATTTACTATTTGGATTGTAGTCTATAGATTTTTGTTTGTTTTTTTTTAGACAGTAGTTCTCTGGGATGGCATTTTTTTCTAATTCTCCAGACAAAATAACAGCAATGTTCTGTAGCTATGAAAAGTACTGGAAAATATTGCAGTATTGAAAATATTGCATTCGCTTGTAATTCTGATGAAATTACCTAATCTGAACAGATGGGGGATTTACTTTTCATGGTTGTATTGAGTAGATATACATTATAAATGTAACATTGTAACTTCATTGTTGCTTTCATGTTTCCTTCATTTCATGGTCTTTCCTGCTCTGTGTTCTAATTTACTAGCATCTTGTACACAAAATTCTTAGTGATATTTACATTGTATATATATTTGTGGATACATTTTATTATTGCATCAGTAAAACATTGATTTTTCAGTTACACATTTTTCTGAATTAAAATGAATGATTAAATTAGTAAAGTAAATTCTGATTTAATCATATTCCTTTTATAAAAATGTCACCAGTCACATCCTTGCCAATTAGTTTGAGCTTTTAGGATCCTCTAGCATTTTAGTCCGAACTATAAAAGAGATACCAAACAAATGATTTCAAATTGAACTTTAGTTAGAAATTGTAATCATAATTTGTTTATGGTTAACAGAAATATACGCATGTATAATTTATTGAAAAGAATAACATGTATAATTTTAACTTCATTTATACTCTAATCAATTTCTGATTGGTGTATGATATTAGTTATTGCCAAAGTTTAACCAACTAGTTATCAGACAAAAAGTTTAGCTCAGTTTTATTTGAAAGTAGTGTCAGCATGATTTGCCTATAAAGAGCAAAACCTCATAACAACATTTTTGTCTTCTCCAGGTTTATGATTTAACTTCTGCTAGTATGGTATATTTTCAAATGATCAGATGTTATGAATAACTACCCAAATCTGAACAAATGGGCAAAGTTTGATTAAAATCAATTTCAGTTTTCTTAAATGGAAAGTACACTCATTTTCATACAAAATTGTGGACATTATATTAAAACTAATAAGGTCACTTAAAAACTATTCCTTTTATTGTTTGTATAGTAGATATAGGTATAGTACAAATTCAACTTCATTCACTTATAAAATAATAAACTTGTGCAAATATTTCATTTTCTGGAATTATTGAAGAGAAAGAACATAACTCCATCAGTTCAGACTGGTATGCCAGACTGGATGTTTCTTTGGTGACCAGGCAAAAATTGATATTATTCGACTAGGAAATTTTCTTTCATTTGCTGTAATTCCAAAATAAATATAATTTTACTCTTGGAATCATTAAAATAATCTATGAAATATATAAAACATTACTGATTTCCCTTATTGAAAAAAGGAATCTTAAGTTTTAGATCTCCATCTGTCTCTCAAAATGTATCGGTAAACCAGAGGGTCAATTATGGACTCAAAGTTGAAACATTATTAGTGTTGGCTTAAATTCTCTCAAACCATCTTTTATCACTACTAGATTGTATCACTTGACCTTGTTGTGTTTGTGTAGAAAAATTTAAAAATCTATCCAAATTAAGATTTGGTAAAATGAACAAATTAAATAAATTCAAATTACACTGTGTAACAATTTTTATCCTTTGGGTAGCAACTATTATTTCCTATTTGCTTACACCTATAAAGTATGAAAAAATGGCTAATATTTCCTTCAAACTTTGATTTTATGACCAGGATAATGATATTTCTGAGGTTTACATATTCCATTTGGGAGAACTGGCGAATGTGCACATTCTCATTCACGCAAAGTAAGAACAAAACAACATGATTCAAAAGTAACATTTATTTATTCTAGGATTACACAAGAGAGACCATGAAAAATTAGAGTGAGTAATTTTTCGCAATTTATGCTCATACTATAAATTACTTGAATCAGCCTCCAAATATAGTTACCCATCATGTTTTTGCTATACGATTTAAAGTTCAGTATATACTCTAAGTATGGCTTCTTGAATTTTTCAAGATGAGTATCAAGTATATGAACTTTGAGGAACATCCTACAACCCGTTTTGTCATAGTTCTTCATCAGGGTCTCTGTAAGCTCCATATAGTTGTCAGCCTTGTGATTCCCCAGGAAGCCCTGAGCCACTGCAAAAAAGTTGTTCATGCTTTCTTCTTTCAGGATTCCTTGCACTCTATGATCATCTTTATTTGTGGTCCAATGAAGACACCGGCTTTGACTTTTGTTTCAATTATGAAATTCAATAGTGTTTCATGTAATTTTTATATTCTCAGAAAAATATTTCATGACAAATAATACAACTCAATTTAAAGAAAATGTTGTTACTGTTTTATTTTTACTTGTAAAATTACTTTTTTTTTTCATAATTCAAATGTTATTTTCAGTGCAAAAATTTTTTCTCAAACATAAGGTTAAAAAAAAAAATTTGAAAGTGAATTTTTTTTTTTTAATTTACTAACCAGGTTCACAATAAAATTAGAACGAATTACATCACTTCTGTGCTACCGTACGATAAATTCCCCTAACGTAAGTTGTCAATATATTGACATACATCAATTAACGCCCCTCAAACATGCACCTAAGCAAGCATCACGATTGGAAATATCTCTATTAAAAAATTTTCTGCTAAAAAAGTAAGTAATGTTTGTTACAAATTACATTAAGTATACTTTAATCATTCTAAATTTCCTAAGATAACAAAAGAAAAATGTGTAACTGAACTTTACATGATTTTTGTTTGATACATTTGATTTTTGTTTACAAACTTGGGCAGAAATGGCCAATAAGATCGAATTTATGAAATTTTTTTGATTCGAGAAAAACAAGATTTTTAAGTAAAATTTTTAACATTTATAGGAAGGATTAAAAAATCTGAAAAAATATTCAGAAAATACTTTGGTCTTCCCTCTTTAATACTAACATAAACATTTACACGTTAAAAATTTTTTTTATCAATTTGGGGATATTTTTCTCCAAGGTATACCACTTTTAGTGTTATATGGGACAGACCTATATTAATCTGTAAATTTTCAACTTTTATGCACATGTAGTTAAGGTATTAGAAATTTCATACTGTTTAAGTTACATGTTTTAGAATAGAGCCAAGTGTTTTCTGTTAAATATTCATGCATTATTCTTCTGTTTAATACAAGGCATCAGATCTAGTAACAGTCTGAGTTGAAGTAGTAAGAGGAGGCATTAAAAAATCTTTGTGCCAAGTTTATTGTTGTACAAAAAGTTTTCATAAGAAAAACAAATTAAAAATTCCCTCAACAATTGGTGGAATATAAAAATTTTGTATTTGCAATTTATTTCTTTCCTTTTTTTCCTTTCCTTTTTCTTTGTGGGTGAGTTGAATATTTTTACAAGGCCAAATTTTCACTTCCACAACATTTTGGTAGCTTTGCTAGCACAACCAAAAAGATAGAATTTCTGCAGTTTTTAAGCTTTGTAAAATGTTCCTTTTTTCCTCTTGTGTTTTTTTTTTTTTTTTTAGTTCAGATATTTAGAGGTTAAAGCTGCTACAGAACCACATCATCATCTGGTCTTAATAAAAAATGTTATATCAATAGCCATTTTCTTTCATCCTCAATTTTTTCTATCATAGACATATTGGATGGAATTCTTGTAATGTGCAATGTTTTTAACTAACCCTATCAGCATGTTGATTCTTGCTCCAGTGTCAGTTGTAGACATTGACAAATCATGATTGATTTTTAACAACCTAGTCATTAAACAATTGTTTCACACTGTTTATATTTATTGTTTATGCAATTTCTTTATATAACCTTCCACTCTGCTTAGTAAGTTGGAGGAAATTTTATCCACCTGCTTACAATATTATTTGTCAGCTTCAAGGTATCTTATGAACATATAGTTGTGGCTATGTACATGCTTTTTGGAAAAATTCCTAGCAAATGAAATTACTATAACAAATTTAGTAAACAAATCTCATGATTTCAGATTCCAAAGTTTGAATTTTGCAAATCAGTAAATCAAACACTGATTTTATCATGAAACTTCCTTTGATTATTTTATGTCTGATATCTTTGATATTTGGCATTTTCCCATTTAGTATGAACCTCTTGTTTCACTTGTATAATAAGTGTAGGAAAATACTTTTAAATCTTTTATTACTATTTCTCTCCTACCTTGTAAGGGCTATTTTGGGATATCATCATCATAGTCTTGAAGGCCAACTTCAGTCCATCCAATTATGTTGCTGATAAATTATGAATCTCCACCATCTACAAGATTTTGAACTTTACATTTTCTTTTGGGTTTATATTACTAACAACTAGTTTTAGTGAATGAGATTTGTAACCTCAAAAACTGTGCTTTAGTGACTTTAAATATAAAGAGTTTTTACTTTGCATTACATAACACCAGATTCATTAAAAAGGTAGAAACTCTTATCCATTTCAGATTAATACGGATTAATTTCTAAATTTGATCGATTTTTGTCACTTTCACTGAAATCTGAATTGTTTTGATTCAAATATATTACCAGTTCATCATTGATATGAAATTTTGAACATTTTGTAGTTCTGTTTTCCATTTCCAAATATTTTTAAAATAATTGATTAAAATTTATCTTTCCAATTTCAGAGGCTACTGAAAAGACTTTAAAACGCCAGTATAGTTTTGATATGGCTGACTCTCCTGACAGAGGTCTCAGCAAGTCTCCTACTCTACAACTGGAGTTTCCAGATATTCAGATGCATTTGGTGAGCAAAATTTACCAGAAAGACCAACATTCTCTGCTGAAACAAACCAGCAGTGAGGAAATTGCAATGTTAAATCAGCAAACAGCAACTGCCATTGGAGAGAATGTAAGTGTTGTGTTTTTTTAGTGCATAAATTTATATTAAATTCTTAAAAATTTATTTGATTATTGATTCCTATTAATTTTTTGCATTTTATATTTTTAACTTCTTACATTTCCAATATGATGACTAAAAAAATTGATTATATGAACATTTTGGCCATTGTACATTCAGTTCAAAATTCTAGTCACCTGAACCGAACCCTTTATTTCATCCACCAGAGTAGATTATTCTAGTTCCATGTGCCATGCCTCTTCTGGATGTCTCGGTTATTTCCCTTAACTCTCCAAGTTTTTTGGTTCACCACTGCTGTAGCCCAATATTAAACTCACAACGCGTTGGGTCTAGTCACTGGATCTAATCAATGCCTTTGAGGACACATGGCTCAGTGGATAAAGACATTGAATAAAGTGTTTGGTTTGACATTCCAAGAAGATTACCAAATGCAAAGATAAACATATAAAGAAGGCTGGAGGATATCTAAAATATTGTGATTATAACAATCTAGATGAACATGCTGGTCCAAATAGAAAACCTGTAATAATTTCTCATCTCGGAAATTCCACCATAAATTAATCTATTCAGTTGTTTTACATTAAGGTGATAAAGAATTTACTTCATTAAAGCAGTCAGATGGGATTTTTTTTTTGTTTCTTCATAACAATTTTTTTAAACAATTCATAAGTTATGAGAAAATTATTCAAATATTCCAACATGAAGTAAATATACTCAAATAAATTTTGATAGTTTCATAGCAACCAGTGTGGCTAAAAGATTAGTTATTGAACCAGTTTTCATATTTTATATATATATATATATATATATATATATATATATATATATATATATATATATAGCTATTAAATATGGGGTAATACTTTCATTTTATTCATAAAGCTATTAATGTGTGAAGCATTTTATCATTTTGTATAACTAATATTCAACCTATTTGCAAATTTTATATTGTTTGCATATGCATCTATTTTAAATGGTTTTATTTTTGTGTAACTCAATTCTATAGATATTCATAAAATATAAACTCTGGCACTGTGTGCTTAAATTAACATTGAAATAATCATGAAAGTGATTAAGAAAATAACAGAAAAAGTAATATGTTTGTTTTTTTTGGGTTTTTTTTTTTTTTTTTGCTCATGTTTTATATTGATTTATTGCAGCATAATGTAATGCATTTAGTTTTGTTTTTAATGATTTAGAAATCAAGGAAAAAACTGAACTTTGGCAGATATTTTATGTTTTATAAATTTATAGTAAATAAATAATCTTTTGGACTTGTATTATTTAAGTATATGTGGTAAATTTGTTATTCATAAATGTTATTTCTTGTAATATTTGTACTCTTGCAACTTAATGAATTAAATTTCAAATATGCTTTCAAACTGAGTCTATACTGTGCTAAATCAAGAATTGTATTTAACAAAACTGTATCCACAATGATTTGCTGTAAAGCAAAAGCTATTCCTCTCAATTTTGAGCTGAAAATTATTCAAAATATGAAGATATTTAAAACTATACATAATTGATAAAAATATATTTGCTATGAACTCAAGAAAAATTTTGTTTAGATACTTTGTCTTTGAAAATAGGTGCTAAAATGTAAAACTTTTAGTTAAATCACAAAGCAGTAGCAATATCTTGTGAAAAAGGTATTTTAAATTTGGAATGAAAATTTTCTTATAAAGACAAATTGAATTGTGTTTTTGGATGAAGTTTTTTTTTTTTTTTAAGTATTTGCATGACATATAAAGGAATAATGGCAAAAAGTATAACCAATATAGTAATTACTATTGATGTCATCATAAGGATAAAGATGCTTACAAATGTCTATTATAAAGCTTTTGTATCAGTTTCTTGAATTTATAATGTGAACCATATCTGAAACAAACAAAAAAACTCAGAAAAGGCATATGCACAGTAGAAATCCCTTGTAATATTTTTCATCCAAGCTATTTTTAACTAGTGTAATAAAAGGCTGAGTTTGGAAAATGAATATTACCATACTACAAAATATCTTACACCAGTGCTCTTCTGATTGATTTATGAAACTAACACTATTTTTCTGTCTTTTCAGTCTTCACATAAAGAGATAAGGTCAGGGGAAATAGAAAAAATTGGCTCTCAAATATTGACCCACCCATCCATTGTTGCACTCAAGATTGATTCTCAGGAAGGTTACCAGAGACAGCCATTTATCACGACTACCACTGCAATACAAAATAATCAACCATTGACCCACAATGTTTATTTGATTCCTGATTTACCTGGAAACTTACAAGGAACAATAGAAAAGGAGACTAGCTATGGAGCTACTACCACATCTACCTTATCCTTATCACTGACCGGTTTGTTACCCAACATAAGTCAATTGGTAAAACAGGAATCTGACAGTGGCCCTGTTATAAGTGCCAGTCTCATTAGTCACCCTCAGAGCATAACACCATTCCAATTTGAACACCCATTCCAAGCTTTTCAGAGATCATCAAACAAAAATGAAGAAACAAGAGCAGAACCCCAGACAGTAATCATTCCCTTGACTACTTCAGGCACTGAAGAATCTACTTTTGTCTGTAGTCCCAAAGCTGTCAGAGTCTCTCAATCTTTAAGCAGAGAATCACCTGCTATGGAGATGATGGTTTCTCGCTCTGAGGTAGCCACTAGCTGTCAGCAAGGTCAGATCCTTTTACCCAGTCAGCTGGGCCCTAACAACCCATCAATTGTAAGCATAATTGTATCCAATCAGACATGTCAAAATGTTGAAAATGTAGCTCAACAACCGCAGATGGGACATAAACATCAGTCACAGTTAGTATCAAACTCTCCCTATATAGGTCCTGCTAATATACCAACACAACCATTCAATACTAATATAGTTGTTGAGCCACACATAGTAGAGAATTTAATACCAGAACACTCCCAAACAAGACTGGCAGAATTACAACCTGTCAGTCTTATTATGGAGAAATCAACTACAGAAAGTAAACTATTAGTTACAAGACAATCTCCAACAGCAATTGTTGAGAAAACTTTCCATTCTGAGCAATGTCCTACATCATTCGAGAGGCATTCACCTAAACTATACATAGATAATTCTCAAACAAGGTCTGCTTATGGAAATGGGCAGACACGAGTGCATGTTGAAAGACGAATTCCTATGCTTCAACCCATGATCCCTAATGTACAACTCCCACCACAAGAAGTTGGGAAGCTGTCACCTACACAACGAATAGAAAGTGCATCACCTCCAAGACATTATGTGGAGCGATTATCACCAAAGCGACAACACGTGGAGAGGCTGTCGCCGACGAGGCAGCACGTGGAGAGGCTGTCGCCAACGAGGCAGCACGTGGAGAGATTGTCCCCTACAAGGCAACATGTGGACATGCTAACACCCACACGATATCATGTAGATGCATTGTCCCCAACAAGAAAAAGCATAAGTGCACTGTCTCCTTCCAGACAACATGTAGATAACTTGTCATCTTCTTGGCCACAAGTTGACACCCTCTCTTCTTCAAGCCAACCCATGGACATGGTATCTTCTTTGAGGCAACCAATCATTGATAAGCAGATGGATAGGTTATCACCTTCAAAAAAGCTTACAGGTGACAGATTATCACCCACTCGACAACATTTAGATAATTTATCTCCTACAAGCCAACACATTGACAGGCTAACCACATTTCGAGTATGCACAGAAAAATTGTCTCCCTCTAGACCCTTCAGCAGTCAGTCCCCAACACAGACTACTGGCAAACTATCTCCAATAAGACTTACAGACAAACCCCCATTTAAGAGACAAACAAACAGATTGTCTCCAAGCAGACATGTTGAAGGACTGTCTTCTGTGCGTCAACTGGACAGACTATCACCTGCAAGACAGACAGAAAGATTATCTCCTGGTAGATATGAAAATCTATCCCCAACAAGAGTTCAAGCTAGACTATCCCCATGTCGACTTGAGCAACAGTGGCCTTCTGATCACCAGTTGCCACTTCGAATTGTTGAAAGTCAGCCTCAACACCTTGATAGTAAGCTTCTGTGTACGACAACTGAAACACAGCACAGGGTATGTGAGAAACAATCGTCAACTGGAATCCCTGAAAGCCAGGTTTTATCTTCAGTTTCTACAAGCCAGAACAAGGCCCTTACAATGCAACCAAGTGTTGAAGGACCCTCATCACTCAAAAATAGCAGCAGTTCTTTACAACATTCGAGATTGCTAAAATCCTTCAAAGATGATCTGAACAAATGCCATATTTGTAATAAGTGCTTTTCAAATGCCCAAGAATACATAGAACATCAACGACAACACATGAAAACACAGACTCATCACAGTCAGGACAGCAGTTGTGGTCATTCACGGCCACACTTACACAAATGTTTCCACTCTGAAGGTCATGCAGACTCATGGTCTATGAGTACAGAGGAGATTCCTAGACCACCCGACTGTAAAAATTGTAAAATGGATTTCTGGAAACAGAATCATCTACCAAAACACTTATGGGCCAAAAAACATCGATTGACATTGATGTGGAACAAAAACTCTTCATCTACAGATAGTGAATCGGCTGCACCATCAGAAGCCATGCCAGATGCTGTTGTCACAACTACTTCTGTTTCAGGTCCGTCCAGAGTTAAAACCATCCAAGGGACTGAGAAAGCTCTTGACTTATCTATAGATGAGTCCTCAATCATTACTAGCCTCTCTTCTACCAGTGTGACTGCAACTTGTACCACTGTGACTTCAGTCACTACAACTGCTGCTGTTACTGTTACAACAACTGCTGTGATGGCTAAGGATATGGCAAGTGATGAGCATGCACTTATGATAGCTGAAGCAAGATGTGTCTCTAGAGAACAGGCAGCCATTATTAGTGCAGATGTCACTGATCAGAGTTCGTTCTTTATCCACCAGAGACCTGTGAGTAAGAAATATGTTGATTCATCAAGTGAACAGGTCAAAGATGAGACAGTCGAAGCAGACATTTTGAGGAGTGGCATCCGAAACCCTACTTATTATGTTCTAACCGGTGATGAGAGTGAGATAACAGGGGCAAATGTCATACCAATCACTCCAATGGCAGCTCATGCTACCCATGCATGCCATTTATGTTCAAGGACATTTACATCAGCTTATCAACTGGAGGTATCTTTTAATTTTTCTTTGAAAAAATACTTTGTTAGCAAGTGAGAATTGTTATCTTTAGGAATTAATCTCATGAGCAAAAAATGATTTCTTTTGAATTGTAAAATATACAAGAAACTAGTCAACTGTTGAATAGATTCAGATTAACATACAGTAAATATAGAGGTAACTACTTACTAATATCTCTTGTTAGAATTTAAACTTGGGTAAAAATACAACATTTCAAAAAGTGATTTTCAAGGGTGGTAAGCTCTCTTGCCACTTGGACGATTGACATAACCTAATCTTTCTCGTTCATTTGACCCCTGCCTCATCTAAGGTAAGCATGGTGTGTGTGTGTGTGTGTGTATATATATATATATATATATATATATATATATATGAAAATTAATGACAGTGTAAATTTTTTTCTGTGGTGCATTTTGTCCTTTATGGCTTCATCAGACTAAACTAATATTTTTATTCATGTAATTAAATATGCATAGGAAGGAGAGAAGGAATATAAAAATGCAAGCATTGGTTATAACTATGCATATGTAGAAAACACTGAAATATTTAAAAAAAACCTTTTATTTATTTTATACATGTCTTGGTATATAGTCTAGTCAATTTCACTTAGTTTCTTTATGCTTTTGTTTTTAATACTTTTATTATTAAGTATCTGACATTGTGATAATATTAGATCTGCTAAGAAAGGTGAGATGTAAGAAACTGAACAGAAATTTACTGTGGATGATCTAGCAATTACAACACTTTCTATACATTTCATCTTAATAAATTGCTTTCTCTTTTAATTGGAACAGCATGTTTTTAAATCAAAATTATGATCTGACACATTACAGTGAGTAACTAATGCATTGTGTCGTTTTGTAAAAGATCTCTTTTGTGTTCATATAATCATATATTTAAATTCCTCAAGATTTCTCCTATGTATTCCTTGTGGTGATTATTACAGGTGATACAGTAAATTCCTCCTTCAAGTTTTAAATCATTATTATTTTGTTTTGTATTAAGTTTTTCTTGATTTATTATATTTCTGTATTTCTGTATGTGTAACAAATTTTATGTCAAGCTTAGATAAATTCTTTTCAATTGTAGTTGTGATAGTAGAATATTTTGATTTGTTGGGTTTGTTTGAATAATCCATTCTTTTAGTTTTCAATATTTTATGAACTTTCTGTTTTGCATTGTGAATGAAATAATTAAGGCATTGGAAGAGCTTAAAAGTAATTTCAATGTATTTCTCCTCTACATATAAATATTGAGGACTACAAATTCTGAATGCTCTTAAATAGAATCTGATAATTATTTCGGATTTTATTTTGTTGTTATGGTGAGAATATAAATTTATGAAATCATCTTTTATTAGTTATTTTTCCACTTTGTCATTGATTTTCCTAACATTGTTCCGATATATAAGTATTTATATATCATATTCTCCCATATATATATATATATATATATATATATAAATAATGACTATGTTCATGAGAGCAGTTAAAATCAGATGCATTGTTGTTCTAGTATTTGTATTGTGCTAAAATTAACATCTTGTAATTAGTTAATAAAAACACTCCTTTTGAAAACCAAGGGTTCTTAGGTCAAACTTTAATATAAGTTCATTATTTAAGCCAGTCCAATTTATAGAAATAATCAACCTATTTTAAATGAAATATTGTAGACTTGGTGTAGACTTGAAGTTTTCTGAAAATAATATTGTAGAGTGTAATCTATGCCTTAATGAAAAAGGAAATGGATTCAATAAGTTCTTTTTTTTATACAGGGTGATTGAAAAGTAACTCCCCATTTTAAAATACTTAATTTATTAACTAGAATTTTTATAAGAAATGGATATGAAAGGAAAGTGTTTAACATAAGGTTTTATTTAAAATTCAATATGGGTACCAGATTTTGCTACCAGCTTCTTGACATGTCAACTGATTTCACCAGGAACTCTTGTGGTATGGAAGACATAACTTCTTGTATTTCCCCTTCAAGTTCTTCCAAAGTCTTGGTTTGGTATAGTAGACTTGCTCCTTTAACCAACCCCAAAGAAAAAAGACACAGGGTGTTAAGTCAGGACTCTTGGCTGGCCACTCATACATAAAATAGGGAGTTACTTTTCAATCACCCTGTAGAAAAATGAAAGCCCAGCCATTAATTGCCTATTTATTTATTTTCAGGATCATCTTTCTCATGCAGACCCACGTCCATATGTGTGTGAGTACTGTGATGCTGGATTCTCAAAGAAACAAACACTTCGTATCCATTTGCAGATACATTCACAGGTTTGTTCCTTGTTCTTTTAGAAACAAATCAACTGCATATTTTAGAATGAAAAATGAAACTCCCAAAAGTTGACCACTGCTTGACACAAAAACAAATACTCAGAAATAGTAGTATGGTATATAGAGATGAAGTAAAGGTCAAATTTAGTGTCTATAGTACCATTTATTGTTTACTCCATTTGGTTACAGTGTTTAAAATGGTTGACTATCATCATAGAACTTTTTTGTGATTTGACAGTTCATACAGGGGTTGTTGTGTTCCTTCTGGTTGACGGAAATTAACTTGTTGCGTTCATCCTTTCTTCTTTTTCTCATCTGGAGTTGTACGTCAGGTCAAACTCACAGCTGATGAATCACCAAACCTTGTGAATCAAACTGCTACCTTAAATCCAGTTCCTCTCCACTGCGGCATTTCTAGTCTTGTACTTGGTTTTCTTCTTTTTATTGGGGCTGACACATCCATATTTCCTGTTTGATTTTTGGCGGGACATGCTGTTGATTTTTTTTTTTTTTTTTGATTTTTTTTTTTTTTTTTTTTATGATGTTCACTGACCCACATAAACTAAGTCCAGGTTCATGTCCGTTACCGAGGATAGGAACAATAGAAGGAAGGAAAGGAAATATATAAAAGAGAGGGAAAGAGAATTTTCTGTGTCACTCACTTAGTAAAGAGAAAAGTGTACACCTCCACATGCCACTATTACTACCTAATCCTACTACAGTAGCATTTAAATGTACTTCAAGAATAAAAAAAATGAAATTTAGGCTGAGATATATATATATATATATATATATATAATATATTTTATTATATATATATATATTCCATTTAAGTTTTAAAGGAAGAGTAAGCTGCCTATAAGTACTATTTAACATAACAGCAATACCTAATGAAAGATATGTGAGCTTGTAATTCATACAACTAATAAGTAAAATGAGTTAAGTATCTTGAGTTATTGTCTTTGGTAGTGGATGTTGATGAAATTGATCAAAAATTCTGTTTAATCAATTATCTTTGATTAAAAAAAAACAGTTTCCTTTCAATTTTCAATTGTCTTTTTCCTGACACTAGAAATGTGGTCAGAATCTATAATTCATATTTGTCTTTTTTGTTACTCATGTCTTTAAATGTGCTCATGTTTTGTCTGCTATTTCTCTTGCAGCAGGAAAAGCCCTATGTGTGTGGCATGTGTGGAGATACTTTTGTTACATCTGAAAGTCTCAAGCAGCATTCACTCATCCATTCAAACATCATTGTGGGAGCTCATCGAAGTTTTGATGAATCCGCATTATATTCATACCAACAAGGAACCAGGATAGGCAGTCCACTACCTAAAGCTTACGATCGAGGAGTTCATATCGCCACTTCACAATTATGTTCACAAGACCATTTTTCCACATCGTTCCCTCCTCCTCCTCCCCCCATGATCAGTACTCCAGTTCAAGTATCTGCTTTAAACATCCAGCAAAAACAACCCCAGTACAGGCTGCCTTCTTCTCAAGCACAGCAGTATATGGAGATTAGTCCCTATAACACTGGTGATACAAGACCTGTGATGGTGGCATCAACCTTAGCTGCTCTGGCATTGGACTCTGCTGTCAGCAAACCTTGAAATTTTGTCAATAGACATTTTTGTCTTTTGGTACTACAAATATTTGGCAGCCTGCTCCTGACAATGTTGTTTTGCAACGGTCACTGGTGTTAGCAGCTGCATCGATTTGCATTAACCAAACAAGAAGAAAAGAAGTACCCAATTAAAAGGTTTACCCTGGCCTGAAAGGGAATTTTGGTGTAAACATTGGGAGTGTTTGGTTTCCTTGACCAAGGCTTGTTGCTCGGCCTTGCACTTGGAGAAAGCATTGTGAATTTCTCTTCGGCCGAGAAGATGATTGATGCTAACTAGACGGGCAGGATTTGAATGAATCTGCAGGATAAAAAAAAGAAAAATATTAATAAGTCTGTGTTTGTGACAGTCCTTCACCACCCTCCACTTTTTGTCTGGTGTTGTCTCTTTCCTATTTGACTGGATACACCAGTGAGCAGTATGTTTTTCATTTAGGTGGTGTGTTTCTCTCTTCAGAATCAGATTGAGTGATATACATTGGACAGATTGAACAAACGCTCATGCATTTCACAGAGAGCACTACATTCAGACCAGAATTTACAGAGCTAATGTAAAATTGTGAACAAACGAGAGAGAAGGAGTAAAGGATGATTTGAGAAATGAAAAGAGCAAATTTAAGAGGAAAAGAAATTTTTTGCATTATTTGATGGAAATGAAAATGGCAAAAAATATTTCTTTAAAAACAAATGTGAAGTTGAAAATAATAAGCAGAATACACACAAAACAATTTTTTATTTTTTTTATTTTTTTAAAACCACAACCAAATGAAAAAAACAAATGAGAAAAAATAGTTACCAAATTGCTTTTTTACTTGATGTTTCTACAAAACACATGTTGTGAGGATTGTATCAATGATGTAGCCCTGGTTATTGTTTGTCCAGAGACAAAAACTGACAAAATTTACTTGATCTTTCAAAGAACAAAAAAAACATTGTCTTTCATTACTGGTAGTATGTATGTGTGTGTGCACGCGCGCATGTGTATGTTTGTGTTTATGTGTATTTGTCTATGTGACTATGGCAGAAGGAAAAGCATGTTTTATTTGACCACTTGGAAATTTTTGTTCACTTCTGTTATTTATTTCCCAGTTTCTTGGACTAGACAACTTAGAAGAAAGCAAGCAATTTGCCGTTCGCACTTCAAAATATCAAACATTTATATATCATATTATTTTTATATTGTTTAAATTAAATTGTTTTAATTTTTTTCAAATTTATAGTCTGTTGCCTTTTTAGTATTAGTAATTCATATATGTTTAAAATCATTTTATTATTTTGAAATAGAATTGAAAGGACCAAACGTTTTTATCTTTGTGGAAAGTTTTGCAAGTAAGCTTTTTTTTCTTTCCTTTTTTTTTCTTTTTTTTTTTTTTTTTTTTTTTTTTTTCTTTTTTTTTTTTTTTTTTCTTTTTTTTTCTTTTTTTTTTTTTTCTTTTTTTCTTCTTTTTTTTTTTTTTTTTTTTTCTTTTTTTTTTTTTTTTTCTTTTTTTTTTTTTCTTTTTTTTTTTCTTTTTTTTTCTTTTTTCTTTTTCTTTTCTTTTTTCTTCTTTTTTTTCTTTTTTTTTTTTTCTTTTTTTTTTTTTTTTTTTTTTTTTTTTTTTTTTTTTTTTTTTTTAAACTGTAAAGAATTCTTTTTATTTTGCCATTTTTGCTTATCAGGATTTTTCCTTTTTATTTATTCATTTTGTGAATTTTATTTGGAAGATGTCTCTAACTTTTGGTATAAAAGAAGGAAAGATTATCTATAAAAGAATTTTTATTTTGCATTTTTGTATGATAAACACAGTTTTATTATTATTATTATTTGTGGTGATGGGCTAAATTATTTATAGATTTATCAAAAGATATAAAGATAGAAAAATATACAGGAATAATGTAATTGCATTTATGATAGAAAAAACAAAACAAAAACTAGAAGGGATCTGCATTTTTTTTTTTCATGTTATACTTTACTTATGTGTTTCACTCTAAAATAGATAATGTGGCAGTCAAAATTAAAAGAAAACTCAATTTGGGATTTACCTTTAAACTCTATTTTTTTTTTTTTTTTTAAGCACAAGCCAACAAGCACATATTGATCTCATTTTTTTTTCTGTATGTTTCATATGTATAAATTACTCTATCTCTGTAGGTTAGTGTGTATACAAGGGAGTGGTGAAAAAAACTGATCCACTTCCAAAATTCAGGATTCTGAAATGTGGGTTGTGCAACACCACCACCTTACACATATATTGCTTATGTATACATACTTATAAATGTGCACACTGTGCTGAAAAGTTTTTGACCTAACCAAGAAAACCTTCCTGACAAAATTCTGGTCTTTGGTCAGATTTTGGGAAATGGGTCAAGCTGTGAACTTATCAGTAATTGTGTGTGTGTGATTTTTTTTATTTATTTATTTTTTTTAAATTGCAGTAATTATTTACATTGTGGATTTACTTTTTTGACTATTATCCAGAAAATGTATCGTTTCCATTACAGATTTTTGGTTCAGTTTTACTTGATGTTCAGTTTAAATTGCCCATGGATAAGACAAAGGCCCAAAATAAAAATACATATTTCAATAGCAGATTACTACTTTTGCATGAAATTCAAAAATTTTACTTTTAAATATTGCTTTAGTTTGTATAATTAATATATTCTAATTAATGAAGAAAATATATATAAATCTCTGTATATGTTGCAGCTTGGTTTCATTTTAAAGATGATTACCTACAATTTAGATTTGCTATCATCATATAACAAATTTTTGCATTTGAACATATAATGTATTTGAATAATAATAATGTATGTAATTCTTGAATACTGGGTAAATAATTTCTGACTAAATTTTCCTCTGAAACTGCAAGCAAGTTTATTGTAAATTTTCTAAATATCTAATAATAAGCATTTAATTATAAAATTCTTCTCAATATGTAAAAGATTAAATAGAAAGAAGTTACATGATTTTACTTTGTGAGGATGTATATGTTTGAAAATATGTACACACTTTATATATTTGGGTCTATGTGAACATTTTAAGCATTAAAAAACTTCTAGAATTCATATCACTCCTTTTCATCTTAACAGATTGGTGGAAATGTTGCTGCCTTATTTGAAGACTATATTTAATTTGATTAAAAATTATTTACAAAAGGCAAGTAATATAAGAGATGGGAGTGGAGGGATACATACCTGCTCTCTTAATCATGCAATTTCAAATCGGTTTAAAAGTTAACATCGTTTTGAGTTAAAAAAAAACAAAAAAACATTTGAGTAAATTTTAATATGGATTTCAAATCATTAAAACTTTTTGTGCAAAAAAATCTACTTCTAATAAAATAAAATTCTGTAATTATTGTAGATATTTTTGTGATCTTTAAAGAATGTGTGTAAGACTGAGAAAATATAAAACAATTAGGGAACAATGATTTAATTATCTATTTTCTAGCCATTATCAGATCTTGGAACTTATCCAATATATACAAGCTAATACTTGGGGCAGGGGTAATATATTTTGCAGTGCATTTTTGGGAGAAGGTAGATTAACTCACTAGAATTACATTTCTTTCTTTGATCAAATCATGGGTAAGCTCCTAAGATCATCTGATGGACATTTGGTGCACTGAAATATGTTTGTTTTAAATACTAAAGAGTAATTGCAATTTTACAAGTATGTGGCTAATACATAAACTTTGTTAATATTTAAGTATTTAGTAATTAGCCTAACTCCTCAAACATTTGTATGGAATTTTAGGTGTATTATCCATGCAATGTTATTCACAATTATAGTATTATAGGTTCTAGCTTGTCCTGAGATAGCTATAATTGACACACACACACACACATATATATATATATATATATATATATATATATATATATAGTTTACATTTAAAATGTTCTTTGTTAACTAGAATTATGTTAACTGAAAAAGGAAATTTAAAAAAAAAGCTAATTATATATTGGAAATTCATAGCAGTAGTGTGCCACACTCTCATTTACAAGTTTTCATGATAGGTTTGGTTTACTGCCAAATCTCCAAACTTTTATCTATTGTTTGAGAATGAGTTTTAATATATTAACATTACAAATTAACCACAAATATAGTATCCACTTTTCCTATTCAAACCATGGGTTTATATAATCATGCATTATAGGTTTTTATGAACAACTGTCCTGTTCAAAATAAATTTTGAATCAAGAGCTTAGATTAAGTTCAGTGTTTTTCTTTTATACAAAACTTGGCTTTCTAATTTTCTATTTTGGGAAGTGTATTTAACTTGACTGGTTCAAACCCTTATTGTCATAGACTCCTTAAATTATGCTAAAGCAATAAAAACAGTTTCTTTGTGTACTTTTTAATCTATATTGTTTGATCATGGTTGAGAGTTGATTTCAACTTCCATTGTGACTGTTTGTTATAAATATCTGTTTAGAATATATCAATACATGATGTTGTATTCTTGGGAATCCAGAACATTCTTTGAACACCTTACTTTAAAAAAATAATAAATAAATATCCACTGGTTGCATGGATGTCTTAACTTGTAATATTTTTTTTAATATTGCCTGATGAAATTAATTTCATTATATATGAAACTATTTTGCTATTTTTTCATTCTTGAAGAGAATGTATGAATAAAAAATTGCTTCATTGAATTTTACTAAAAAAATCTCTTGCAATATTACAAGTTTTCACATCTGTATACTTAGTAGTGCTTATCTACATTCCCCTTGCTGCAACTCAACAAAATTAGTGTATCTGGAGACATTTAACTAATAAATCTTGCCTCTTTTCAAAAAAGAAATCCTTTGAGTGATCCACCTTTTCTGTTTTTTTCTCAGTTTTTTTTTTTCTTATTTAATATTAGCAATCCATTGTTCAGTGATAAGCTATTTGCAATTTTGGTCAAAATGACCAAATAAAGAAGTCTATTCAGTATATTTAAGCAGTTTCCTATCACATCTGAAAGTATTTTGATTATCTTTTAACTAATAGTAAATATT